CCAGATCTCTCTTTCCAATACATGGACTCAGGGATCAAACTCAGGTCACCAGGCTTACAGACAAGCCCCTTTATGGCACTGACACTAGATCGTTTGGGTTTTGCTTTCTAATCGGCCGTTACCATGTTTTACATTCAACAATTTTTAACTAAAACATCACTTACTGAAAACTAAAAAACTAAACTAAAACTAAAACTCGGCTCCTTCTGCCTGTTTCCCACCAGAGGCTGCATGAGGACAGAGGGAGGTAGGGGGACAAGTGCTGTTGAAATGGTCCAGCTTCCTTTATACAGCAGCCTCAAGACTTCATTCACTAGAATTTTACTGCCCCCTTGTGTCACAACAAGATAGTGCAACTAACAAAGATTCCAAGGAACATTTTCCTGGCTCTTCATCTAGAAAATCCAAAGCAGAAAAGTGAGGTAAACTATAAACCACTCTAATTTTTCGCATTCAGTTTGAAACACGCCCCCCCCCCAAGTTACTCCCAAGATTAGTGTCTTTCCGGATACAATTCGGTGCTATCATCAAAGGAAAGTACCAGGATGCTCAGCAGCTACTTTAGAGAGAGAGAAACAGACGATGGAGCAAATTCTGCGATGGAGACCAGGCTGTCCGTCTCTGCAAACACAGGGGTGGATAAACTTCTTGTATGGGAAGTCTGGTGCCCCTCTTGTGGGCAGAACTGCAGAGGCTGGGGTCAGCCAGTGTGCACCTCCCTCTCCTCAGTAGTCAGAGGACAGCACTCAGCTCCATTGTGTTCTCACAGAGGACAGAGGAAATTCGAAGATCCTGATGTTTGAGGTACCCATCACTCTGCTCTGCCTAAGTTCTTGAAGAGGGAAAGTATGAACATACAAGACTGACTTGCTGCCCCCAGTGTTGAAATATGAGCGGCGGCGGGGCTGCATCCCCAACACCCCGGCTGCTTGGCTAGCTCATGCCCGAAATAACAACACACAAACTGTATTCATTTAAGAACTGCTTGGCCCATGAACTCTAACCCTTACCGGCTAATTCTCGCCCCTGGACTAGCCCATTTTCTAATGATGTGTGTAAGCACCCCAAGGTGCGCTTACCGGGAAGAGTCTAACCTCTGTCCATCCTGGTGTCTCTGCTCCAGAGAGCAGAGCTGTTGAGTCTCTCCGGGAGCAGAGCAGAGTCTGACCTCACTTCCTCTTCCGCCCAGAATTCTATTCTGTTTTCTCCTCCCACCAATGCTTTAACCTATGAGGCCAAGCAGTGTGTTTATTACTTAACCAATGAAATCAACAGATTGATATATGACACTCCCACATCACCCCCAGTAGATACATGAAGACTGGGTGACATCTCTCCTTTCCAGAGGGGATATGTGGGTTGAACTGAACTAAACTTGGAGAAACTGGGTCCTTTTTTAAACTACCTAACTTATCCTCAGGGCTGATGCCCACAGCTTCCTGGGCTCCCCTGACTCCTCAACTCATCAACCTAGAGCAGAAAAGACTGTTGCTTCACAAGTGTCATTTCCAAGAAAGGGTTGAGGTAGTGTCTCATGTGGTCCGGGCTGGCTCCAAACTGCCAAGCTCTAGGTGGAAACTTCCTTACCTTTCCTTCTTAGCTTCTATTACAGCAGTAAAACGCCTAAGTTAAACCACACATGAGGAGGAAAGGTCTATTGGGGCACGTTTCGGAAACTTCACTCCTTTATACCCCAAAAGACAGAAAGAGGCTAGGGTCCCAGTGGCCAATTCCAGACCACACCTGTGTTGGCCTGATTTCCTTTCACTAAGCCCCATCTCCTAGAGGTTCTATGGCCCCAATAGGGCCACAGCCTGGGGATCCATGGGCAGCACTTCTCCAACCATTAGAGTCATAGTGGAAAATCAAAATAAAACCCCAGATGGTCTATGTAGTAAAAAAATAAATAAATAAATAAATAAATAAATAAATAAATAAAAATCATCACATCTCACAGAGAACTGATCTCCAAAATAGACAAAGAACTCAAGAAACTAGACATCAAAACTTAAACAGAGAATTCTCAACAGAGCAATCTCAAATGGCTGAAAGATACTTAAGGAAATGCAAATCAAAACAGCTCTGAGATACCATCTTACACCTGGAAGAATGGCCAGGATCAAAAACACTGATGACAACTTATGCTGGAGAGGATGTGGAGTAAGGGGAACACTTCTGCATTGCTGGTGGGAATGCAAGCTGGTACAGCCCCTTTGGATGTCAGTGTGACGGTTTCTCAGAAAATTAGGAAACAACCTTCCTCAAGACCCAGCAATACCACTCTTGGGCATATACCCAAAGTATGCTCAATCATACCACAAGGTGGTGGTGCACGCCTTTAATCCCAGCACTGCAAAAAAGAGGCAGGTGAATTCTGTGAGTTCACAGCCAGCTTGGTATACAGAGTTCATTCCAGGACAACCAGGCTACACAGAGAAACCCTGTCTCAAAAAAAAAAAAAAAAATCACTTTGCCAATATTCCTAAAATAAGCTGGGGG